TTGTCCATCAGTAAAAATGATCAGTCTTAAAATGTTAATTCAGCTTATTTTTCAGTGTATTTATGAGCGAATAGCAGAGTAGCCCCACATCTCAATCCAAAATGTGGTTAATTTTGAATAATTAGACTTTAAAGTTAAGTTTAAAGCGAAAAAAATGGAAAAATGACCTAAAATGAGAAAAAGAAAAGTCGAATAGGTTCAGATTTTGCCACAAAAGAGAACTACCACATCATTTTAATAGGTTTCTAAATAAATCTGCCAACGTCTTTTACAGTTTATAAAGACAGAAGTCTAAAACGACGCCCAAATATTGAGTTTCTGCTTATAAGTGAAGCTGTTTCAGCTCCTGAACTCATGTTTCCACTTCTGTCTGTAACATCTGCTGGAACAGAGCTCATTTAGTGGAAATCAGAGCTGCTTCTGGAGGCAGAAAAGCAAAAATCGGCATCCTGATCAGCACCGACAGCAGCAGGTTTTCCATCTAGCTGTGGGCCTCTGATCAGAACCAGAGAGGAAACAACTCACACTTTCTGCGTTTTCCCTCCAGAACCAGATTCCCTCCGGATGAATAACGAGCTCTGGCCCTTCTGTTCCAGGTGCTGGAGGCTGAATCTTCCTCCCGGATGGCGATGGCGGCGGCGTGCCGACTTGGCGGCGGCGCTTCGCTGGCGGCTCACAGCCGGTCTCTGCACGTCGGCACACAGGTAACGAGAAGGATTGGCTGATTGTGACTAGGGGTGGGACGGATCCCAAAAACCACGGTTCGGTTCGATTCACGGTTTCGTGGTCACGGTTTTGGGTTCGGTTCGGTATATGTTGATTGTTAGGAAAATGTATTATGTCTTGTATAGTCAGGTTAAAACTGAAAGAAAAAAGCAGTCTGACATTTGATCCATTATTGTGACAGTCTTAGGTTAAAAGTAGGTGAGATTCTGGCATTAGGAGAGGAAACAGTGCTAATTCCAACATGTGCTTCCCTCTAAATGCAAACTGGTCCATACAGCAGACCTAGAAACTGCTGCTGGTCTGATTTTTATTATCGGCTACGCTGCTTCTTCTTCTTCTTGTTTCCTACTGGTGGTTGGCTTTGGGCGCAGTAGCGCCCCCTTCTGCTCTGGAGTGTAAACGCTTCCCTCTGAGAAAAAGGAGCAGCAGGAACCCAACGCAACACACGCGAATCGAACCGAGACAGAACCCAACGGTTCAGACGGTTTTCAGAAACCGTCCCATCCCTAATTGTGACCGAATCCACAGAGTCAGGATGTGGGACAGAAGGGAGACACAGGCCAGCAGATGACCAGAAAGAGGCTCCACCCCCTCAGAAAGAGGCTCCACCCCCCTCAGACAGAGGCCCCACCCCCTCAGACA